TTTCATGCAATGTAAATGCTCGTTTTTTATTTTTTTCCGACATTTTTCTTAAAATTAACAACTCTCAATGAAAAGCCAACGAACGTCACTTTCAGCCCACCGCAGAAGTGGTTTGCCTTCTTTGACTTAGAATCAGAGACTGATTGTGTCTCTTGATCGAATTCGGGGAAGTACAAAATTTTGCTTTGCCAACTGATTGCCAACTTTGTTTTGAAATTTGATTTTGAAAGCTTCGGTTATAATGGACAAAATCCGATTTTAATGTCTATTATAACCGGAGTCCGTTATAACCGAATCTATTTTAACCGAGGTTTTTACATATGTTTGAACTSGGACTTGACAAAGCGGTACATAATAACAGAGTTTCCATCTTAAGCGAGTCCATTATAAATGGATTACACTGTATTTACATTAGTTTTTTCGAAAAATATGTGTAGTAGACTTTGTAAATTAATTAGTTRAAAGAAAATCACTTATTTAAAAAGTAAACTCATAATCCAAAAAATAGCTCTTCGGTAATGGAAAGTAAACCAAATGATCCAGAAATAATAAATCGTTTTATWTCTTTGTCATGGCTACTTTCTCAATAATTGAATTATTGTACGCTTTTAATAGAAAGACGATATCTATACGTGGTATAAAATTGCAATYGTTAACAAAATACTATTTGGAATTTTAGTCACAACATGCCCATCAAAATAGTAAATACGAACGTTAAAAGAGTTTCGATGGGATCTGTATTTGCTTAAATATTCACATATAGCCATGTGTGTGCGGCATATACATACATACGGAGGCACGCATATATAACTCTTTAYATAAATGCATACGCGTATGCGAGAATATAAGGGACGTGACGTGTGTATGTAAATATGTACAATTCAAAGGACTGTAAACACCTTATATACCAAAGCTATACATATGTATGTACATAGGAATGTATATGTGTATATATGTGTACATGTGTATGTATGAACATGTTAAAAATGTGTAGATTTATACAGTTCTCCCTCGATAAGTTAAAAATTGTATTTGGTGGTATCAGTTTAATGCTGWTATTTCTATTATTATTGTTATTCGAATCCACTCTTTATAATCAAGCAGAGAATTTCAGTTCGCTGATATCTGTTGATCATTAATTGTAAGCATATTAAAGGATATGCCAAATACTATTCTGGAGCTACTAATAATGTCATTTTGCAAAAATTTTCCCACATTTTTACTTGACAAACAATTCCTCCAGGAAAGCTGACATTCAAACTTTCAGACAATTGACCTAAGATGACAAAAAAGCAAAGATACCACAATATTTATCCTTCCGAAAAAAGATATCGCATTTCTTCCGATCTAATTTACACGATCTCTTGCCTTGGAGCCCTTTTYCTGTGCCTCACTGTTTTTTCCACTGTTTATCCATGCAGTGCTTTGCATACAAATATAAAGTTAAATATATAAATTTCTATGAATGGGTATGTGCATATATGTGTGTTAAACAAACRCGAATGCAGTATGAACTTAATACGTGTATGTGTCGCAAAGTCATAAAAACAACAAAATATCAATAATGCAACTGAACAAAGCGAGACAGCAATAAGTGAAGTAACTGAAAAAGAGCCTTTTTCATATATGGAACTGTGTGAATACTAAGTAACCACAGTAACWTGACCAAATGTAAAAGTAGCCGACTAATTGTCGTGCGTGCCAGCCTATTATACCTCGAATTGTTTGTATATAACTCGAGTACTGCTACAAAGCGACAAAAATTTTCGCTCACGTAACTGCCAAAAAAGAAACTGAAGTAAAAATGTTGGTTTGTCGGGCGTGTACCAACTGAGGTCGAAGCGGGATGGCAACACTAAATGGTTTCTTCCTTGAAATGTATATAAGACGTATACAATTTATATGTATAAGTATTCATATCCCAAGCACTAATACTGAGGGCACATAAAAAAGGTATAAAAGATACTATGAGCATTGCGTAGATACACCAACAGTTCTCTAGTACACGTTCTTCTGCTAAATAAAAAATCCTTATGTATAACAAACCGTAATTTCACCTCACAGAACCCATTTGAATACTTATGTTTAGTTGCATGTTAAAAATTTGTAAATAGATATGGATGTATGTATATGTGTAGCTCTGATTGTATGGCTCATTTTGTATGCGCTCAATGTAGATCCAACCAACGGCAGTCACGTCCCGCCCATTTACGCTCAACGCAGCACATGACCAACAACAGCAACAGAAAGAGAAAGAGATACAGCGTAATGTAATGTCTCATACTGTATGTGCGAAGATATAGACTTGAGAGTCTTGCGCGGTAGTTATGGCCGTAGACAAAAGAGAGGGTAAAAAACGGACGTGCATCTTCTTCAAATAGGAATGACGAGCAGAGCGTGCAACTGCTTAAAATGCTACTGGTACAGCGAGTACATGACCGAGCAGCTAGTCAGGTGCACGACAGCGCCCACACATATTCAGATTCGAAAACATGCGCAACTTTTCCCYTAACTGCTTTCATATAAATGGACAAAGACGGTTCGTAGGTTGGTAAATACATACATATAAATATATACACATTTGTACGTATGCACGTAGTTCAATATAATGTGATAGGACGCGATTCACATGTTCAACAATTCAATCCGCGTTTACGCAAAAGCTTTCACACATTTCACTGCAAAATTCTACATTCTTCGAAACTTCCTTCTCGTTTTCACGAAATATTACAATTAGCAGTAATTGAAAGGATATAGACAATGAAATATAGCAACAGAGTTGAAGTAAATTTCACATTCCGCAACATAAGTTGACACTCTTCGTCCTTTTCCAATATATCATCCAAACACCCTTATGCAGTACTATTTAAGTTACAACAAATATGGTATTTCTAGCATCCAAGTTTTTAATAAATTAAGACAATTCCGATTATTTATCGGGTATTATTGCAAATAAATACCGATATAACGCTCAACTATTTTTAAAAATAAATACATACATACATATGGATATAAAAGTATAAATTCATACCATTCGAGCTGAGCGGACAAAAACCTCTATTTCAACCCCCGCAATGGTACGCTCTATCTTCTGTTCCTCTCTTTGCTTCAAACTGCGCGCTCTCCAAGGCACTATGCCTTCATCACACAACACATAATAAGGTATGTATATATGTATGTACGTACTTGCGTATATATGGACATAGGTATACATTTACATAGCTTGCCTAACCTCCATAGGCATGGCCAGATTTTCGTGTCTTTTGGTTTTATTTTGAACGTGAATACATCGTTGAATTATTCTGCACGTACTCGTCGCCAACTTCGGACGCACTGTGTGTATAGTCGCCAAGTCATACTGCGTACGTTTTATACTCGTACACTTCCTTTTGTCGTTTTCGGTATTGCACCAGCGCGCATACTAACTAAACTGTGCCAGTGCCAKTCTACATCACTTTCTTTTGCAACGGTATCACAACGGTGTGGTGTGACCATAATCAGATTTTTCAACATAGAGTGCAAGTGTTGGAGTAGTGACCGGTGGACAATGGCGGGTGGTAGTAGATAATCAACCCCAGTCATGCATAGTGGCAATCGCCAACTACGTGTAATTGTTGACCACAATTGCTAGCCAGATCCCATTCGGCGTTCGGCACTCACACGTAAACATCCCTGCACCAGCCTCTCCGGGCATACGGGACTTGGCGGAGATATCACAATTATAGACAAGGCATACACCGCACAACGTGTTGCCATTAAGTACGCACGTAACGTACAAAAACGTATTTGAACGTGCAGTTGATGTGGACCGTTCGGTACGCGGCCAATAAAACTCAAAGTCATCTGAACGCACGTCGCGTACGGTCCGTGCACGGACTCGGTAGGATTCAATTGGAATTACTAATCCGAATATGCCGAATTCGTCAGACACAAATTCGCATGTGCCAACCGGAAGGCCACACTAACGCCAGCCGATAACCTTCATAYGTTTCCTCATTGTAAATTAGACCGCCTCCCACAACTATAGTTAAAATATTTCAGTGAAAATTTTAAATGATACGCACAGTGTTTAGTGTGAGTGTTTAAATGAAAGTGAAATTATTAAAAATAGTATATAATAATAATTGTTTGATGTAACATTTAACAAGTTCATAAAATATAGAATTTGTTTATTCGTGATCAATATTAAGAATGCAATGAATTGGAACGTGCCACAAACGTGTATGCATGGATGAAAGAACATGCACATAGAAATTGTTAAAATATATGTGATTGAAAACGTGGTTAAAACGCACAAAATATACGATTTAAAAAAAAAATTGCGTAATATTACTAAATTCGTCTTTAACAGCGTGATAAGGGTGCCATAATATTAAATACATACATATGAGGTGTTCATATATGTATGTTTTTACCTGAAGCAATAGTGTTCACATACATTTTCGTATTGACGCAGTCATAAAGCTTATAATTATTATACGGTTTCATCGGTTCAAAGTACCATTTATTAAAAGAACTAATTTATCAKCATTCGTCATGTTGCCCTATCAAGCTGTTGCAATGGATTATGCTGGTTACCAGCGGCAGCCTACGCCCGGACATCCTGGAAATCACATGTCAGGTATGGGTTCGCTGAGCATGCCCGGTGTGGCGGCTGGACCCTTCACACACTCATGGCTGGTGCCAACGCARGACCTGTGCGCTATGCCATATGGCAAAATGACGAGTCAGCACCAAACCGGCGGAATGCACGGTCCACAACAACCCATCGAACCAGGGTCAGTTTACAAATAATTTTAATTAYATTGGCTAATTACTGTCTCTAACTCACCATTTTTTACTGTACGCTTTTTATACGGAGTATGCCTTTACATACATAACTGTTTCTATGTAYGAATCAGTATGAGAATAATTATTTTTCATTGAATATTGGCTAAGGCGTCAAATTAGAAAGGTTTGACTGGAGGATACACAAATGTGGTGTAGCCCGTTGTAAAACAAAGTAAGCAATTTGCTCGTGTTAACCGATCTTAGGACTCAGGCTGAGCGTGTTATTATTCCTACATAATTATGAACGATCGTTCCAAATTGCATTGAGACCTCATTGGTGTGCCAAATTCACGACGGATATTAAACTCTTCAACGACATACGTACATACATATGTACATATATAGGGTCTAGTAAAAAGAAATCAATTATTTTTCCAATAGATGGATTTATTCTGTCGCAATRTTTTTCCAGTAGGGATGAGAGTGTCAAAATGGCAACAAACCGTCCATATCTAACCCATTTTTTATATGTTATTGTCAATATAATGCAAAATTAATTTAAATAATTTCAAATTTCCGTCACATAAAGCCCATATAATTTCAATTAGTTCCTGCGTAGATCCGCATTGGGTTTCCAGTGACTCACTCCCTTGCATATTCAAGTATTWTTAGCTTCACAACTCAAATATTAAAATGTAAATGAAAATCAGGTCGCTTTATAAATATATCATTATGAAATAAGTACRCATATTGAGTTATATATGTATATATATCTTACACATGTGTGTAAACGTCTGAGTTAGTCAATTGGCCCGTGGCAGACACATGGACAAAATAGCTGTTTGTTAAATTTGTCCAGTGGTTCACTACATTAATTCGTTTAATTGCCCAAACAGATTTTTAACACTTCAAGATACGCATCTTTGATGTCAGTGTTCAGCATGCTTTCAAACTCTTCGCCAGGTAAAAAATGTATATACATAATGTGTTGCGGCAAGTTTGGAAAGRCAAAACCCAAAGAAGAAGCTAAAGTTTTAACGGAATCGTAATAAGCCACCATTGCATCAAGAAAGAGAAAAGCCGCGAATATATGGTTGTTGTTGTTTCACATACCAACGCACTAAAAGTGAAGATATAAAAATATTTTGTAAAGGAACAGATGTTCACCGCCGAGAAATGTCACTATTATTTATGCTCATACACATTTTTACATAGCTGCTTTAATATACATATATACATACATACATACATTTGTATTAAACAACGGTTGGTACGTTTATGTATTATTTATGTATGTATGTACACTGCATCGTCGTCAGAACAACATCTAACCAAAGATGCCGACATGAAACACAACCGAAAATTCTGAAAAATTCAAAAGGAAAGATAGTGGCGCAAAAAACTTAAAACTTGCAAATAAAAATGATCTATGCATATTCATAATTGCAAGTATTCGCAAAGTCTACATACCCTCAGGTGTTTGTATGTAGTTCATAAGCAAACATCTCAGTTTGACATCTCGCAGCTAAGCCAACGCTTTTGTGAATGACAATTCCGCAATGTTAGTCACGCTTGCAGAATGAAGATGCAAAATGTTGCACATGCGTACATTACACAAACATTGTAAATGCCCCAACGTATGCACATTGTGCATTAGTAGGCGGAGTGCACACAGAGTAGCAGAACACTACCAACAAAAGCTTATACACTCATGGACAAAATAATAGGTGTAAACAGTTTTACGTTATAATTTTGAAATATTTGCAATTAAAGCAGTTTTGTTTTAGTTATAGCTTTACTTTACTTTATTAAAYGTAAATATGTCGGAAATTTTCGATCAGAATGTTAAAACTGAAATATAATATTTTCCAAAACAAGAAATAGCATTGATCAAAATATTAAGTGTACAATATTTATTTTCTAAATAAAAACAACAAAATTTTAGTTATCCTCTATTCCGTCCACAGATTTCTAATAATCTGTATATCCTCCGTGGGTTTTCAGTTCTATTCGGCATGGATTAAATTAGTTTTTAGCCGGTATCTAATGGAGTATCATCCGAAAATTCCTTTGCTTTCCGCCACAATTGCTCTTTATTTTAAAATTTAACGGCTGCCTATCTATTCTTAAGGCCACTCCACAAGTTCTCAATCGCGTTGAAATCAGGGAATTGAGGCCTGGCCATTGCATACCGGTCACATTTGCAACCTTGAATCCCTCAGATAGCAACCTCGCTATATATTTTAGCGACCCATCTTGTTGATAACAGCATCTCAGCGGCATTTTTTTTTTTTTCTTCAGCATATGATATCACAACGTTTTCCCAAATATCTCTGAACTCAAAGGCTTTCATTGCGTCCTTTAACCAAAATAAACGACCAACGCCTTGCCTGAAGAAACATTCCCAGAGCTATATGTGTCCGCTCGCATGTTTAATTGGCTTTGTGGTGTACATGATCTCTGTATCAAATGCTTTCTTTTAGGCCGGCGAACAGTTATTTTACAATAATTTCCGTAAATATTCATCTTAAATTCATCACTGACTAAAATATTTCGCCACTTTCTATCTCCGGTGGGGCCGCACCAATTTTTATGTTCAGCGGGAAAAGCTTTTCACTTCTGTATGTGGAGCCTTCGTAGAAGTGGAATTATTTTGGCTTTATACACTGATTCACTAATCGACAACGAATTGTCTGCGAGCTAACCAACTTCAGCTGCGATTTGTCGTGAAGTCGCAACAGGGTCCTATTTTGCCATGAGAAGTATGTGGCGATCATCAATCAGACCAGTTTTTCATGGAGGACCAAAAATTTCCTATTCAGTTTTTGGTTACAAAGTTTACCGATCGCCTAAAAAGATTTGCATTATATTTCAACGTTTTCCCTTCATCATGCAATTTTTGTTACCAATCGAGGCTCTACGTTCTAAGAAATTTCTTCTTTTCAGTTTATGATGTTCGAAGGAATAAAAAATTATAAATAATTTGATAAGAAAAGTATTTCGAAATAACCACTTATTTGTTTTAAATATTAACTACTTACACCTATCTTATTGGCCAACACAATTCACTGAAGCAATGATAACTTGTCACTCAAAGGTAAAATTAACAAAATAATAATGCAAGTTGTTGATACTGACGCTCTTCTCAATGAGAAGTTCTCATTCCCCTTTATCGTAAAAATATAACCATTTCATCGCAAAACAGTACTAGCTAAACTATTATTTGCTATTATTAGCTAGCTATTATTTTGTCCATAAGTGTATGCATATGTTAAATATTAACTGACTGAATGCCTTCAGACCAAACAAGAAGAATGCCTAAACTGTCAAAGCCGATCCGAATTTATCCATTTCAATTCAATACTTTGTCAATTTTTAATGTGTAGGTTCTCACATTTCTTATTTGTTTTCAAAAAAATATTCCTTCGAATATCGGATATTATATAATTATCGAAAATTCGTCAACGTCGCCACCCGGCCCATCGCCGGTATTATGAGAGCGATTATGAAAATGGAAAATCTTTCAAATGATCGAAGGGGGAAAATACTGTGTTTAATAGCCAAATTGCATTAAAATGAACTTTACTTGCTATGTCTTGTTGCACCTTACCTTAGCTCGACTGTCATATCTAAGAAGAAGCAAATATTTCACCCATTGTTGCAGTTGACGTAAGAGGCCACATAATGGTGTGAAAGACGTCATCACTTTGTCAAATTTACAAACTTACAAACATCCATTCATTCATTCATTCACACGGTCATGAAACAAATTGCTGGCAATTATTTATAGATTCCGTCCAACGTTATTGATGCATTGACTTTAATCCCGATTATTTACTTTTTCTTTTAAGTGCTGTTCAAGGTGAAAATTATTTAAAGCGAATTCTTGGAGACAATAGTGCAACTCGCATTTGGATGTACCWTGAAAATACGGATAATAGTTTATATGCGTGGTATTTGCCAGCCAATTAGTCGTTTTGTCGAAATATTTCTTGAATTGTTCTTATGTTATTGCTGTAGTCAAAAAAGCTTTTAAGAAATTATCTCTGACAACTTCCCGCATATTCTCGATTTGCCGATGAATATTTAAAGGCGGAAAACTAATTTTTATTCCAGCTTTTTATGTATAGGAAATATACACAAGCAAATAATTACTTTGGTCAAAGCAAAATCCGAAATTTCTATGTGTTTGTTGTTAGTAAGTTTTGCTATTTTATTTTTCCTCAAGTTCTTCAAACGTAAATATACATACACGCGATTATAGCC